TTACTCTGTTTGTCTTCTAGTGCTTGTTTAGGAATTCTGGATAGGCTCTTCAGTTTGAGAAGTCCAGACTTTGTTTTTGAGTCATTTGTTCTTGAATCAACATAATTATCTTCAATCTAGCCGTTGAAAATCAAGAGATTGATTTTTCCTTACCAACGGGTAGAATTTCTTCATTCAAGGCTTAGATAATTTTCTAAGTCTTTTCTCACTTGTCCGCTTTTTGAGAGTTCCGGTCTTTCTTGAGGCATCCAATTCAGATTGTGTGCGGAATTTGGTGGGTAGAGTGAGCAGTAATCAATATGGATGGGTTAGTTTTCACAGCTAATATAATTTCAAGTAAGAATAAAGATAAAAGAGAGAGACACGCAAACTTTAACGAGGTTCGAAGGTGGGGTAATCCTTCTACGTCCTCAAAATCCACTATGTAGTTGGTCGATGAATAATAGACCAACAAACTCTGGCCGAAAATAATAGTGTGCAAACAAAAATCGTTTGTTTGTTGTTATTTTCCTTCTTTTAAGCCTTGTATTAAACAAATAAAACCTTCCCTTTATTCCATTCATCCCCTGGCCAAAATACACTTCACAATTCCAATATAAACACCCACAAAGAGCCAAAACCTTGACCCACTATTAGCCACTCATTCCTGCCCATGTCCCTCACAAATAACCCAAACCCATATGTCCAAAACCACCCCTAATATTACCCAGCCTTGTCCCCTTTTATTAGCCAAAACAACCCCCCATTTTTACCCAAATAATGGCCACAAAAACCAGGAAACATCCACTACAAACCTAAAACCCAAAACCCCACAACCCCAGCCCATTCCTGATTTTATTCCACTTTGATTAAGTGTGTCATATCTTAATTAAATTCTAGATTCAAACCCCAAGTTAGGATAAGAGTGTGTAATATCTCTTAAATACCAACTTGGTTTATCCATCCCTGATTTTCTTCCATTTCATACCTCTCCACATTCTCTTCCTAAAGCTCTTCTTTTTCTTCATAAAAAACACCAAAAAGAACTCCAAAAACACCTCCCATATTTCGCCCCATATACTTCCGTGTTCATTTCCTCCACAAATTCACCACAAAATTAGCAACTTGATAAAACCCCTGGTTCACCCCTAACATCTGGTATCAAAGCTCAACTTCGACGACTTTCTCAAGTCTCAACGATTACCCGGAGGTCCAGCTTCACCCACGTTGCACAAATACAAGGCTGCAGAAAATAGCTCTTGAAAATTTCAGCCCCAAAGAAGTGATCACGGAGGAAGGTGCAGAACTGATTTCAACGTGAAAGTTTCTAGTTTTGAAGTCTATCTTTTTATCTACATCTGGCCCCTGATTTCACTCAATTCCAAGTTACGGTTTGTGAGATACGTCCATCCGAAGTTAAGGCCGGAGTTGTGCCAACCGCTTGGCGACCTTGCTACTTTGGCCAAAAAAACACCCAAAACCCACCAACACCACCTTGTTTACTTCAGCCAAACCCACACCAAATGTTGTACTCGAGACCCGGGGTCTTATCAAGTAATCAATTTGATGGCGGGATTACGGAAGAAATGGAAGCAAGAAGGAAACAACTTTGAACTCCAAAGTTCTGAAGTGTGTGATAGTCAATTATCACTCCCTGATAATCGATTAACAAGATATGATTTCCAAACCACAAATATTCTGAGATGCCCGATAGTCGATTATCACTTTTATGATAATCGATTGTTGGAAATGGCTGGGTAAAAATGGCGGTGATGAAGGAGTTCTTTTTGGTGTTTTGATTTATGAAGATAGAATAGAATGTGGTTTAGGAAGAGAAAATGGAGAGGAACGAAATGGATAGAGAACAAGGATGGATAAACCAAATAATAAATAAGAGATAAACACTCTCTTACTATATTTGGGGCTGTTATCTATTTCACACAATAATAATCACTACTAATGTATAAAATAGACTCCTAACACACACTCAAAAGTAGCCAACTTTAGAGATATTTCATTAAGAAATTTAGTTAAAATAGCATCACACTATTTTAAGAGAATACTCAAAAGAGTAAACAAAGTTTTCATTCAATACTATCTGCTGTTACAATGACCATATGACAGGAGTATATATAGGCTAAAAAGGAATACATTTAGCTAATAATACATACAACAAAACAAAACTGAAAGTAAGAGGAAGTTTCCTTATTTCTCATGCCATTTGCTCCCATTTTATCTTGGTGTGAAAAGTCCTTCATGGCTGATCTCCTTTGGATTTAAAAGACCAATAATCCTTGTCCTTTTTAGGTAGAAATTTCGTGGCTTTATGAAGATAACAAAGGGAAATCAAGCTTTTGATATTTGTGATGAAAATGCCAAAAACAGCACTATTCATTCAATGACTT